AAGCATCCTATAACAATATTATCCAATTATTTAAAAATCCTAAAATTGTGTAAAATAATTTTTTCCAACCATTTCATACTTTTTAAAATGAAACATCTCTAAAACAGTTTTTTCTCTGAAAAAATTAATTTAAACTTTATTTCATTAAGCTTTATTTTCGATCGAAAATTTTGATTGAAAAATTTTTTTTGCTATTTTCAGAAATATACCATTATTATTTATTATTATCATTATCATTAATAATTATTGTTAATAACTATTAATTGTTAGTATTAATTATTACTGTTGTTGTCGTTAATAATGATTATTACTATTGCTATCGCAGTAAATCACAAATATGCTATCATATGCTTGAAATCAACAATACTATCTTGTTTAATCACCAGTCTAAACTAACGCTGGCAGCAACTTATACCATCACCATAAATCACGAATATGCTATCATATGCTTGAAATCATCAATACTATCTTGTTTAATCACCAGTCTAAACTAACGCTGGCAGCAACTTATACCATCACCATAAATCACGAATATGCTATCATATGCTTGAAATCATCAATACTATCTTGTTTAATCACTAATCTAAACTTACGCTAGCAAAAACTTACACCATCGCAATAGATCACGAATTTATGATCATGTGCTCGAATTCGTAAATCGAATGCATTCCCTTTTTTAAATGGTAACTTTAGCTTCTCTTTCTTTCCCCAATTATTATTTGAAAATGTATTAAATGATATCTGGAATCGAATTCACTATTTTATTCATTACTATATTTATTATTGTATTTCTAATATTTAAATACAATAAATGAAAAAGAAAGAAATTGACAAATTAATTTATTTGTTATGATTTTACAGTATTTTTAAATAAATTTAATTTCATTCATTTTTTATTTTAATTTATAGAAAAATTTTGTAAGCTATTTAAAATATTCAATGAAAAAAATAGTAAATTTAATTTTTGATTGTTTTAGAGAGACAATCAAAAAAATATCAAACCTTTCCTTTTTCAAATGATACGCTAATATGTAATGGAATATCTTCGCCAGTATAATCTGTACTGTTACGATGTAATCCAATATCAAACCTATATATAAATAATTAGTAATAACTTAAATTAATATAATAATTCTTCATTTATCGAATAATTTTTCATATTCCACTTCCAAATTAATGTATGACAAACTTTTTTGCAGTATTCAATGTTTTCCCTTTGATGATTAATGTTTGACCGGGCGCAATACGTTCCGTTAATTTACTTCGATATGGAAGATTCTGAAAGTATAAGTAAAATGATTAAAAAGATAAATATATTTTTATTATATGAGAAATTGTAAAATTTAAAATTTTCAAATAAATTTCACACGATATTATTTCTTTTTCTATTATTTTATGATTTCTTTTTCAGCTAAATTTTATATATTAATTTTTATTATATTAGTAATTAAGTGTAATTATATTAGTAATTAAGTTTATTTTTATTTTATTTTATTTTTAGTTTTCCATTTCCATTTTCTTTTGTTATTCATTCATTGGTAATAAAATATTCATAAGATAAAAAGTATGGCAATTATCATTAACGTATAACATTTCCTTTTTTCATGATTAAGAAATCTTCAAGAAAATTTAAATCTATTTTTCTTATGGGAAAACAATTATATGAATGAACATTATGAAATCATAATATCCTTTCATAATATAATTACAAATTTTAACTTTCAAAATTAAAATTTTCCATAATTACAATTGAACAATTTTAAATTTTATTATCAACTATATATCAATTTCAAATCTTACTTATCATCCATCAAATAATGTAAATCAAGTAAGATGTGAAATTTCAATTTCAAAATTTTTGATATAATCTAAAAAATTTTCTCATAAATTATTTGTCATAAAATTTAATTATGTGAGAGAAAGAAAAGTTAAAGGGTCATGAAAAAGAAAATTACGACAAAGTTGCATTTCTTCTACGATATCGATTGATCATATCTGATTTTATTTCTTCTCAAAAAAAATAAAAAATGGATGGAATGAATTTTTTAATTCCCATCATATGCTTCTAAGAAAAGATGAAAAAATTATTTTGCAAATTAAATTCTGATTTTAAAAAAAATATGCAAATGAAAAATAGCAATGAAGGAAACGAATGAAAAGCATTACAAACTTCTTTTCACCATCCTTCTCTTCCATTTCCTCTGTTAATGCGATTCTTTTGTTTCAACAATCACAAATATATTTTTCTTTAACTGAAACATATAACGTTAAGAAATTAAATTAATGCTTCAAATCACAAAATTACAATTCATCATTCATTTCGCGTATTTGAAATAATTCGTTTTTAATTATTATCAAAAATGCTAAATGTCATTTTTAATATTTTCCATTCAAAAATTTGATAAGCAAAAGAGAAACAACAATAGTTCTGCAATATTATCTTAATCAATATTATCATATTTATAACTTTTAAGTGTTAATAATTTTGTAAATTTCCTTTTGGAAAAAAGATTTATTTTAAATCTATGAAATTTTACGTATTATCCATTTTCTTTTTGCCAAATTAAAATATCAAAATTTTCAACAATAATTTATTCAATGTGAAAATGTGCTGACTAAAAATAGTTGATATTATTTAATAATTCATTCTGCAAAATTATTTCCTGCATTAAATTTGATGTATATTTATGTGAGGCAAATGGCATTTTAGAAATAGTACGATTTTTCTTTTTTTGTAATTTAAATTTCAAAATTAAAAAGAGAACCGTCAATTTGAAAGATTTTCAATACAATGACATCAATTAAAATATTATACCTTTCCTTACTTTACACTAATTTTTTCATCCTTTTCCTTCAAAATTCATTTATCGTATCAAAATCGTATGTTGTAAAAGAAAAAAGTACCAAATGATTTATGAAAAAGATAAAACATTTAAAAATTTTTAGGAAAAAACTTTTTAGTTTGAAATGGATTGTTAATTGCATTCTTTTCAACATATCCTTCATATCCATTCCAATTTTGGCAAAGAATTTTAACAAATTTTTATTTGGAAATTAAAGAAAATTTTTCATTTCATAAAATGGAAAGAATAATTTATGAAAATGAAAGAAAGAAAAAAATGAGAGGAAATAAGTTTTAATGTTTGAAATGTCGAAAATACATCATTAATGTCAAAAATGTCATTAATCAATAATGTCATAAAATATTTCTCTATCATAACATATTTTGGTCATAATATGAAACCATTAAAATAAGTTAAAGATAAACAAATTTTAAAAATATTTCATGAATTTCTTTTAAGTGAATGAAGGAAGATAAAACAAATTTCCTTTCCTTCTTTTCTTTATAGTTTTTTTTAAAGTAACAAACTGTAAACAAATATTTTGCGATCGAAGCTAATTGGAGAAGAAAAAAGAAGCATAACGAAGGGAATCAATATTGTGATGATGATGATGATGGTGATGATGATGATGATGATGATGATGATGACGATGAATAGACAGAAAGATCGAAATATTGCCGTGATACAGCTATCATCGAATTTAATTTCCTGTACATTACAAACATTTCAACATATAACATCATAACATTTTTCATCACATTCATTAACGTAACATTTCAACGAATCACATTCATTAACGTAAAATTTCAACGCATTACATTCATTAACGTAACATTTCAACGCATAGTTGATGATATGTAATATTTATGGTTAAATGAAAACCGATGTTTGTAAATATACATATTTATAAATATGGATGATTCATTGGTAAGGTCAATAAAGAGTAATATATGAATGATTCATTTCGATGTTTTCGATTTTTCTTCTCATTTTGTTTATTTACAACAATATTTTATGAGATTTGCTACAAAGTGCAATGAAAGAGAATGTATCAGTGAGAAGGAAAATTGAATCAGGTGAAATATCATAAAATTATAAATTTATTAACACTTAAAGAAATAATCATTCTTACCCTGAAATTGATGAAATATGCAGAATAAAATGATATAACAAAAAGAAATCTTTAATTTTCAATTATTTCACTTTTTTTATTAATTACATAAATATATGATTATCAAATTATCTTTAATTATTATGACAATAAGTTGTCACTATTACCGTAACTTTCATATTATTCAACGTTAATAACTATGTTATTTGCTCATACAATTAATAATAATCTTATTGTATGAAGAAATTTCCTTATACGAAACAATAAGGAATATCAGTTTACTGTAAGAATAGGGTAATTTTCAGGATAGAAATACTATATTTTCCTAATTATTAGCGTATAATCTGTAGAAGTTGAAGCCATAGATTTCATTAGTCATCACCTAGTTTTTATATCATTAATCATCAATTTTAGTCTTTGAAGCAAATATAATCAATGTTTCAATTTCTGCGTGTTGCACGTAAGCAAAATGAATCAATCTTTCAATTTCTCCGCGCTGCATGTAAGCAAAGTGAATCAATGCTTCAACTTCTGCGCATTGCACGTATGTAAAATGAAGCAATGTTTCAATTTCTCCGCGCTGCACGTAAGCAAAGTGAATCAATGCCTCAATTTCTACTCATTGCACATAAACAAGACGAATCAATGTTTCAATTTTTCCGCGCTGCACGTAAGTACAGTGAATCATTATTTCAGAGCTTTTATTTGTTGCACGTAACGATTATTTATTTTCATCAGCAACATAAATAATATCGGATAATATGGAATTAATATATTTTGCTCTTTTTTCTTCTTACAGATATTATTTGAAACAATTGATGTGTTATTGTAATAACACATCAATTATTGTATTATTGTAAATTGCCTTCAAAATAAAGATAAGAATAATATTGGTTTCAAATAATATTTTAATTAATCGCTCTTTTGAAAAAAGAAGAAACTCAAAAATAATGATAATAAAAAAATTTTAGAAGTGAAAAAAATGAAAGTATTGAAAATAGAAATGTTTAATCTTACATTTATTGGATATTATTTATATAAAATTTATCATATAATATAAAAATTATTTCAAATAATAATAATTGAAAATTTTAATTTTAAAATGAAACAATGGAAAGATTTTTTTTTTGAATATTATGTTGTTTACTTTTAACAAAATCTTTGACAGCAATAAGCTATTATAAGCTAATTTTGGATTTCTTAAAGGGAAATGAATAGTCTATAATATATCAATAGTGAAAATTATAGAATATACTAAAGCTATTATGTTTATTTAATTATTTCGTGTTTAATAGGAAAAATTTTAAGTGTTAGAATTCAAAATACAACCTTTATATGGCGAAAATCCCAATGCAATCTCTTAATACTGTATTTTTGAATCAAATTTAGAAAATAATACTTTTATCGATTCATTTTATTCCAATAATTTCTTCACCTTCTTTATTTCATTTCTATTCCTCTCAGTTAATTTTTTGTTTTGAAAATATAATAATTACCTGAGGAAACAATCACTATGGAGGGAAAATTTAATAAAATGAAAAACAAAAATTCACCGAAATAAATGAAAATGACGGAAAGAGAAAGCATGGCCTAAAAATTTAAATTAAATTATAATTATCATTATAATTATAAAGTAAATTATAATTATCTTCAAATTCTATTAAAAATTCTAAAATTTAATTTTAATTTAAATTTTTAGGTAACAAATCTTTTAATGTTTTTCATTTCTTTCTTTCATCTTTTCTTTTACAAATTAGATATCAATTTGATTGTTATATATTATTCCTCATTTCTTAAATATTTGCTTTTAAATGACGCAAAATAAATAAATCAAAGGAGAAAGTGACATAATGCCAAAAAAATATTTGCGATAAATTAATTGCGATTAATGAATCGCCATCAGAAAAAAAAATTTTACGACAAATTGATTTGAATCACATGAAATTCAGAAGGAGAAAAGTGAAAACAATTTTACCTGTACATATATTTATACATATAGATGTATATTGTTTAATGAGAAGAATGAAAATAAATAATATTTGCTATAAAATGAAAAAAATAATAATAAATCAAAAAAAGATCAAAAAAGGTAGTTGAAAATAATTAAATGAAAAACAATGGAAGTAATGATAATTTGTAAATTTTTATAACTCTAAAATTATTAAATAAATCGTTAACATATTTATGGAAGGATTATGATTAATAATTGAAATTGAATATAAATTTACGAACGAAATCAAATGAGAAAGCAATAATAGGTTTAATAGCTTCAAAAAAAAGAAAAATGAAATTACCTGAAAATTTAAATTTATTTAATATCAATCGATAAATCTCTATTATTCATTGTATTAGTTAATGAAACTTATCAATTATCACTTACAAGATATTCGATAATTATCGCTTTTTTTAAAAATAAATTTTTGATTTCAATTACAAAAAAATGAAGTAATACTTGAAAAAATTATGACAATATTAAGAGAAGAGCAAAAAGTGGAAATATTTGAATGAGAAAGCCATTTCAAGTAATTTTTGCATGGTATTGAAGTATTATCAGTTGATACCGGTTCTATTCTTTTTCCGTGTTTATTTGCTCTCCCTCTCTCTCTCTCTCTCTCTCTCTCTCTCTTCTCATTTCTCTTTTTAAAATTTTAAATAGGTAAAAAATGAAATTTTTATTTAACTGATTTATCTTTGGCATTATTTAAGATATCATCTAAATGCTTTTAATAATTTTGATCAATTCTTTCCTTTTAAATTATAATTTAATTATATAAAATGTTATAAGAAAATTTCTGATTATATATTTGTAATAATTATAAAATAAAATGTAGGAAATTCTATTTCAATTTATCATTCAAATATATAATAATATTATTCCAAAATTATGTAAATGAAAAGGATATTATTCATATCTAATTTTTATTTTCTCTTTTCTGTTCTTTGAAATTAATTATTAATATAATAATTAATTTATCTTATATCTTATATTTATTAATTTATCTTTTATTGATTATAATATTAAATTACTTATTAATATAACAGTCAATAAAAGATAAATTTTTCCTTTTTAACTTAAAAATAAAATTAACTAAATTTTTCTTAATAAAACCATAATGTTACCAAATCAATAATTGACAGATGTTGTAAGAATGAATGACGCAATTAAGCAAAATTGATTAATAATAATTAATGATTCATTTTCATTAAGCAAATTGATTAATAATAATTAATGATTCATTTAA